CTAATGTATTAAAGAATCTCAGCTGGGATTTGCTGAGGACAAATGCTGTAATGTGTTAGTCATCCATTATCTGCTTCTATTTTTGCAGGTTCTGAATGATGACTGACGCGGGTTTGTGTGATAGCCCTCCCAGTGCCTGTCATTCCTGAGGGATAAGGTCCCCGCGCGTCCAGCCCCAGCAGCACCAGGGCAGAAAGGAGCTCTGGAGGGCGGACAGCTTCCGCGGGCCGACTGGACAGAAGTGCCGCCTCCGCACGGGGTCCTGCCTGCGGCGGGTGATCCAGACCCCTCGCCTCGTGCTGCTCGCCGCTCTCGCAGGCAGATGGTGTGTGGCCGCCGCAGGACGCCCGCCGCGCCCGGGCCATGAAGTAGCGGCCGCTGGCGGCGCCGCTGCCCGACCGCCGGCCCCAGCCCAGCTCCTCGCTCCCGGGTGCGCGCCCGGCGGGGCCGGAGCGGCGAGGACATGGCTGGCGTTCCGAGCCTGCTAGTTCTCCTCCTGGTTCTCCCAAGCAGCTGTTGGGGTTTCAGAAGCCCACTTTCTGTCTTTAAGAGGTGCGTGTTTTTTTGTTGTTGTTGTTGTTTGTTTGTTTTAAAGCAGGCGGAATGTTGTGTGGATGGCTCCTGGGCATGCTGTTGGAACCGGGATCACGTCTGCGAACCGGAGTGTTGTAGAAATGTGCCAGGTCGATTGACTTGGCCGAAACGACTTGGGGCTTTTAGCACCGTAACTTGTTGTGAAGTCCTCCTTACAGAAAAAGCCCACTGTGTTGCAGCCAGGCTGCCCTGGCTCTCAAAACTCCAATTACAAGTTGTGATTTCCAACAGGAATTCCCTCCCTCTTGGGGAGATGTACTGTAGAGTCGTTTAGACTTGAATGCCTTCTTCTTTAAACCAGCTCAGAGAATCAAATATCAAGACAGATAAGTGATGGGGAGAAGCAGATCATGGGCTGGAAGAGCTCAGGACAAAACTCGGAGCTGTATACGCAGTCCTCATAATTACCATATGCAATATTCATGCACTTGTACATTTGTAATTCACATAGCAGTCTTTTCCAAACCCCTCCTCATGCAATATTATTGTTGCTGTTTTGTTTCTGGCTAGGGATGCTAGACACTCACAAAGTCGTTACACAAATTTTACTGAGTTATAGTTAATGTTTATGCCATTAGAAAACTAAAATGCCAACATTAATTTCTAATTTACTGATATTGTATTTTCACTAAATAGAAAAAGTATGTATTTTGACAAGCTTTTATTGAATCGAGTTTTAAATGTAGCCTGCTTGCTTGTTTTGATCCTGTTTTGTTTCCAAGTTGGTCGTATGTTACTCCTAGACTATAAACTGCAATTCTGATGTTTTAGAACATTATGTAGTCATTATATCTTTTAGAGTTGTCTTTGGATTTAAATCAATAATCTTTCATTTTAAGGTCTTAGAATTTTTTTTTTCCTTCTTGTGTTAAGATACCATTATGTTCAGGGATATTGAAATGTTCTTCTTTTTTAAGGTTTAAAGAAAGTACCAGATCATTTTCCAATGAATGTCTTGGTACCACCAGACCAGTAATTCCTATTGATTCATCAGATTTTGCACTGGATATCCACATGCCTGGAGTTACACCTAAACAGGTGAGAGGAATTCTATATTTCATCATTCCTTATTCTTTATGTGATCTCTAATGAAGCAAGGAAACTGCATTTACAGCAGTGGTAACTTTCTTTGAAAGTAGGCATTTGTTTTCAGGACTCCTTAGGTAGGGCCAGAATAATTGAATATTATAAAGAGGAGTAAATCTTTCAAAGTACATCTTTCAGTTAAATTTCTTCTTTAAAAATTTACTCATATTGTTATTTGTGTTTTAAAATGGAACCTTGGAAATTTATGTTTTGAAATCCTCAGTGGACTAATGGCCTCTGTAACACAGCATGTAATTATGGATTAAGATATGAAAAATTATTCTAATAAAGGGAAATGATATTGAACAGCTGCTTCTGAGAAACTACGTTATTTAAATGCTCTTCTACCGCAGCCACAAATTGAGAAAAAAAAAAAAAAAAAGTGTGTGTGTACTGCCAAGAATTTCCAAAACATTGCATACTTTTAAAACTTAAGAAAACTGTTCATACAGGTGGTTGATTGTGAGTTTTCTTTGGTGTGATGTACTTGTTAGAAAAGATAGATTTTGAAGAGATAATGGCAGAGCTCATACAAATGTGACCTACAGAGCATTTTGAATAGAACTAGGTTGTTGCTAGGGCTTTCCCTATTTTAGAAGAAGCTCTAACTCACTGCTGTCAGTGTGTGCAAGGTGTTTCATTAAGCATAAAAAGGCCAGAATTAATTATGCTCTGCAGCCAGGCAGTGCAGGGATTTACGCGTGTCATTTAAAGGTAGTCTTCTCCTTTGGAAGGGCTGCGGAGATAGGGGAAGACTGAGGTGTTATAGAGCCGCAGTGGCTGATGACTCATTGCTGCAGATAACATTCTATTTTCTTTCTTTCTTTTTTTTTTTTTAAAGTACTGAGAAAATAAAAGTCTTCTATTTATTGGGGAGAATTCCCTTGAAATTGACAATCAGATGCCCTAAGAAAATACACACGGTCCTTTTTGGGGGGAAACTAAGGACTGACATTCATTTATTTGAAAACCTGTGTGTAATCTAGCTATCTGTGAATAACTACTTTACCATTGTCAGAATGACCCTCACCCTGATCCCCTGTCCATTCCCAAATGACCAGGCACATGACTTTTCTGTACGTTCAGTTGTTAGTGTCCTGGCCTTTAATTCCATAGCTCTTGATTTGGTATTTAATCAGAAGAGGTGTAATGAGATTGGGAATAGGAGAGACCAGCACCAGTTGCTCACTTGTGAAGTGTGCTTCTTCTCATCTCTTCTCACTTTTCAAAAGCTATTTTTCACCTATATTTGCTTTACATTAAAACTGACTTTACGGGCACCTGGGTGGCTAAGTGGGTTAAGCCTTTGCCTTCAGCTCAGGTCATGATTTCAGGGTCCTGGAATCAGCAGGGAGCCTGCTTCCTCCTCTCTCTCTGTCTGCCTCTCTGCCTACTTGTGATCTCTCTCTTTCTGTCAAATGAATAAATAAAATCTTAAAACAAAACAAAACTGACTTTATATTACTTTTTTTTAAATATCCGCCAATTGGTCTTTAAGCACTCTTTTCCCACAGGAATATTAATATTTTCTCATATAATCATTTGTCAAGGTTCGTTATTAGTCTGTTGTTTTTTCTTCTTATTATTTTGCAGTATTATTTAATTTAACAGTAATAATAGTAGGTACCTGTGTTTGCGCCAGTACTCTCAGAAAGAGTTCCTAGAGGAATTGATTATTTAAAAAAATGTAGAGTAGCTCAGTTTCCATAATATAAAATGTGTTTACTATTTTTTATAATCTTATAATTATCAAAATAACTCCATGGCAAAAAGACTGCATATGAAGTTATCACTTGTTCTTTTCCACCATCTGCGTGCAGTTTTGCCTCATGCAGTGGACACTTGCTGGTCGCCTTCCCAGCAGACCGTTCCTCATGGCTCCTTCTCTTTAAACCACGTGGTTTCCAGGATTTTTCTAGCCAGGATCTGGAAGTGGAGCCCATGGATGTGGATTAGCAAATCATTGCCCTCCACCTCCCCTGCCACACCAACTGGTTCAGAAGAAGGTGTGTGACCTAAGCTAGTTCAATTAAATCTTGGGACTTTTGCTGGGAATGTGTTTTTCTGTTGCATGCGAGCACAGGGCACATTGTCCTCAGATCTGCTGCATTCATGAGGACAGCCACGCCTTCGGATAAAACTAATACCACAGAAGGCGGTGCAGAGACGCTGAAAGAACTGATGTTCTTGGTGACCTTGCTACATAGGGAGTTTTCATTTATGTTGGGCTTTTTGTTTCAACCAGGTTGAGTTGGGTTTTCTCTGCCTTGTGACTCAAACTACCTAACTGGCTAAGTGATTCCGTTGTTGGGCCTCGTCAGCTCAGAACTGGTTGTTGAATGTTTCTTCCGCTTTCTCCCGTCACGAAAATGCCATGACTGTTTACTGATTTGATCCGGCCAACCTATACCTCGTAAAACTTCATGAGAAATGAAAGTTACACTCCTTACTGAGTATAGCCAGGAAGAGATGGATGCGGAAATCCATTTCTCTCCTGAACTTGGGGTTTTGGGTGGTGAGGAAGATGCGGAGCTGTGGTAGTGTGAGGGCTCCTGGTAAAGAAAATATTCTTTTTGTAAAATGCAGATGAAACTAAATTTAACACAGACTCTTAAGAGGAACAGAGATTACAAGACTAGAAAAGAAAAACGAAACATATTAGAGGAAAGAAATGAAAGATAGAAGGGAATTAAAATAGTTGGCTCTCCTCTAACCCTCCCTCCCCCCAAATCTAAGAGAATGGAATGATCAAGGACAAATATATAAGGCAAAAGAAAAAATAACTATAATTGGAAGAACAACACATTTAAAAAATATTATAAACAGACACCTGGGTAGCTCAGTCAGTTGAGCATGCAACTCTTGGTTCCATCTCAGGTCATGATCTCAGGGTCCTGAGATGGAGCATCATGTGGGGCTCCCTGCTCAGCGGGCAGTCTTCCCCTTCTTCTGCCCCTCCTCCCACTTGCACACACACACTCTCTCAAATGAATAAAGGGGTCTTCAAAAATAACTAAATAAAAGGTTAATTATAGAAAAAATCTTATAAGAAAACCAGGAGTAAGGAAACATCAAAGAAAGGGAAGGCTTTGAGGATTTAAAATCTTTCTTTTAATAGCAGAAGATCAAGAAGAGCAACAAAATTAATTTTTAAAGATTTTTATTGGTTTATTAGAGAGAGAGAGGAGAGAGAACACAAGCTGGGGAAGCAGCAGAGGGAGTGGGAGAAGGAGGCTCCCCGCTGAACAGGGAGTCTGATGCCAGAATCCATGCCAGAACCCCGAGATCATGACGGGGGCTGAAGGCCGACGCTAACTGACTGAGCCACCCAGGCGTCCTGAAGATTAATAAACTTTAAAGAAAGAAGTTGAGTTGATCATTGAGGGTGGACCATGTTGGTTAAAGAGATATTCACTCAACAGGTTTTTTTTTTTTTTTTTTTTTTTTTTAATAACACACATCTTAAGTTTTGGCAATAACAAGATACATCAGTGAATTTGGTCTAAGTCCTTTCCTTGGGAAACTTGAGATTGTCGGGTGGGTCTGAATAGAGAAACAAGCAGATGCAGAACAGGGGTGGGGAGAGCTTAGCTATAATGCAGACACAGTGCATGTAACTAATTTTGCTGGTGGAATATCGGTCTAAATTAGTGTCTTACCAAAGAATATCCAGTCATGTCAGGCCTCTGTGTTGCAGTCCTTTCTGCTATATCATAGAATTCAGAGAAGCCTTTAAAAAAATTGCTCTCATTAAACCAGCTCTGGAGAGTCTGGGGAAGGTAGTTTAATTATCTATTGCAATATCAATTTTATATTCAAAGTAAGCTCACTCTCTTCTGTGACTTGAAAATTTAAAAAATAATCTCTGTCCTCTTGAATAAAATCCTTCTAATTCAGTGTTTTCTTAGGCTTTGGGAAGTTAGGGAGAAGAATAAGCAGCTAAGTAGCCTAGAGTTGAGGTAAAGAAATCAAAATCTGGTGTCTGATGGCACAGGTTTCAAATCCAGCAAAGCCGAGGAGTGGTGCTATCTTGAGGTATCTTGAGGCTCTTCTCTTAGCACTTTTTCTTCTTCATTTAATTCTCTTTTTCACCAAAGACCCTGTGGGCTTTTGCTGTCATCGATTCATATCAACAAACAAAACCAATTGATAAATTGCCAGTTCCTGGTCATAGTAAGGTGCTCTCGTCAATTTAGTATGTTAACTATCCCATGAATGTTTGCTTTTAAAATAAAATAAAGGGGCGCCAGGGTGGCTCAGTGGGTTAAGCCTCTGCCTTCGGCTCAGGTCATGGTCTCAGGGTCCTGGGATCGAGCCCCACATCAGGCTCTCTGCTCAGCAGGGAGCCTGCTTCCCCATCTCTCTCTGCCTGGCTCTCTGCCTACTTGTGATCTCTGTCTGTGTCGAATAAATAAATAAAATCTTAAAAAACAATAAAATAAATAAAATAAATGAGGCACAATTATGATGAGTTCACGTAAAGTCTATTGTCCAAGTCTCATCCAGATCTAGTGGGTCATATAGGCCTCAGAGCCAGGTCAGGATCCTTCTCATCCTAGCTCTTGCAAAGTCAACGTCTTTATGGTTTTGGACCAGCTAGGCCTGCTCCTTCGTCTGTGGACAGAATAATAATTGGACTTACCTGCGACTGTTTTTAGGCCTGAGCAAGTTTATCCCAGTGGCACGTTCAGTTGCCCTGCATGTGATTAAGTTCTCATAAAATGTGAACCCGTACTGCTATTGTTATTTTGTGTGTTGAAGGAAATGTGACTGAGTCTTAAAAGGAGAAAGAAATTGCCAACCTTTATGCTTTCAGAAATAACTTCCTGGAGAAGGTAAGATGTCATCGTAATTTTGAAAGAGAGAAAAGTTAGCCAAATGAAGAAAAATAGAAAGTATGGACCTGGATAAGAGAAACCTGGAGAAAGTAAGCAGGGAAGTCAGTCTTGCCGTGTGCTCATTCCTCAGTAATTTCCATTAGAAATGGCCCTTGTGATCAGAAAATGAAGGAATATTGAGAATGGATATGTTTTTCTCAGAGTTCTTATATATCTTACATACTGCTTAGAAAAGAAAGTATCAAAAGTCATTTCATCTCTATGAAGCTTTAATTTTTTTTTTAAGTATTCATTTGGAATTAGCCTGGATTTCTTCACTTTACTAAGAACTTTGTACATTGGCCTTATTTAAAAAAAAAAAAAATCACTCTTACCTAATGTTAAGTCTTTTCAAATCCTAGGGTTTATATAGCATTTTATTTATTTGTTATTTGTGTCCCTTGGGTCCTCTGGTTTAAGGACTTACTAACATAAACTAATTTGTAACAGATACAGTTTTATAGAATTAAATACTTTCTTTGATCCTAAAAACTTGAAATCATGTAATAATTGAATGTCTTTCCATTAGGGTATGTTAGGCTGTCATTACTGTGGTCACAGTCCTCCCTTATTTTGGGAGCATTTTGAGAACTATAAAGGAAAGCACCTTCTCCTTCTTGAACCTCTTGCAGATCCTTGTCTCATTCTGTAGTTGTCTTTTGAAGAGTCACACGTTATGCTCTGAAATAAGACAACTGTCTTATCCTCTGTTCCTGAGCACAAATGTCTATGGCCAGGAACACCAGGAAATGGAACAATTCTGAGTTTAAAGATCGCATCAGGTATCTCTGAACAGCAAGTTGAAAACCTTAAATTAGAGTCTTAAGTTATCACTTATTTTACAATACCCTTAAAGAATGTAGCATTGAAACATAATCAGAATGAACCAAGTACTCCTATGACATTTTCTGAAAAGCTTCCCACAGTGTTTCTCTTTGCTTTTTTCTCAAAAAATGAGAAACAATTAGGAAGTGTTTACTAATATATTTTAACTTTTCATTCTCTGACATAAAAAGGAAGAGATTTCCCTTTGCTTTCACATGCATATAAACATGTAAGGACCCAGCTTACACATGTTTTTTTTACTACACCTGTTTAAAATATCAAGCCGCTATAATATAACTTCACTTTTAAACAGCACTTGCTTAAGGTACCTGTTTATCAGAAGTAGTATACAAGTAAATCCAGAGTCGCTGTAGTGCCATAATTTTCTTAAGTTCAAAATGCTGACTAAATTAGATTTTTTCATGTAGTCAGCTGTACAAAATTTGGCTTATGGTTCATTTGGGGGATATTCTAATATGTTAAATGTATATATTTTTAATTTAATCCTTATGGGGGGGGGAGGAATCCCAACCAGTGCTTAAAATTCAGGACAGAATTACCAAGGATACCTCGTCTGCAAATGGGGCTTTAATGGAAATGTTTTTATTCTTTGGGAGTTGTGATTTGCTTGTCTCCTTCTCTCTAGTTATTAGTATGTAATAATATTTGCATTAAAAAAAAATTCCAAGGTTTTCTTTGAGCATGAGGCTAAAAGGATGGGAGATACCCCACATCCTATTGTAAGACTAGTTTGACTTTCAGATGAAGGCCTATTGTATAAGGGGAGAAAATTAATCTGTGGGCACCAGTAGCCTTCTGGGTACTTGTCTGCTATAGTCATTGGGGAGAATGGATTCAGACTGTTCTCAAGGCAGCTGGGTGTTTGCTGGGAAATGCCCAGAGTAGATGCCTACCTGACTCTAGAGCCTATGTATCTGGAACCCTCCTAGGTTCCCTGACCACCTGTGTGTGGTCAGTGGCCATGACCTATCCTACTTTCTCTAGTCCTCTGACCTACCTCTGTGTCCTCATCCTCTTCTAATTCAGTCTGTACAGTAAGACAAACAAGGCAGAGGGATTTGATTTTTGAGGCAAGTCCATTTGATTGAGAGTTACTGCCTAGAAAATGTTAAGAATTGTGAAACCACGAGTGTGAAAGACCGAGGTAGTGGCTCTAGTAGACAGCCCTGTACCAGTGCATTTCTGTTGTTAGAAAAAAAAAGATCATGGGTAAAGGTTGATTGCATTAAGTCATTGTCTTAAAATGAGCACAAGTCATAGCTTTCAGTGTTTCTTAGGTTTTTAGTTTTTTTCTCCCTTCACAAAAAAAAAAAAATTTAAAAAGCATGGAGGTCTTGCTGTTGAAACAGGAAAATTGAAAAATACCCTTATTCTGGAGTAGTATTTGCTTTTTATTCAGAAAAACATAGGCAATGTATATAAACTTCCAATTTAATTTAGATTTAGAGAAAGAGCAACAAAAGAGATTAAAATGCTATACACGTCCCCTTCCCCAAACCAAGGAAGTAATATTATCCATTTACCAATGGAGAATCTAGTAGCAAAGAAAATTCAATGATTATTAGAAAGAAGGGTCACCAGACCCTTGTCTTGTTTACTTAGCTGCCTCATGTTAGTTTTTCCCACTTCCTTTTTTTAAAGTTTGGGATTGGTGTTGTTTCGGAGGCTGCATGTCCCATTCCCTGGTTGTATTTGCTTGTGTGATGCACCCCTTGATTCATCGGCGAGGCTCAATTATGTGAATTAAACAATATAGAAATATTAAAGGGATTGTGTAAACTGCAAATTAAAGTCACATGTAGTTCATTGCTAATTGTTTACATTTAAATCATGACACTTCCTCTTTATTTTTTTACTGAAACTTATGTAATGCCAATTAGGGAGGATATGATTGAACTAGGAACAGTGTTTTCCTCTGTGAGAATAATCTAAACATCACAAATCTGGGTTCAGAACTGCAAATACACATCCACCAGGGTTTTGTTTTTTTTTTTCTCTCTCTGTTGAAAATGAGACACAGAAAGGGGACTTTTTATTTTTTATTATTTCTTGATATTGTTATATCAGTATGATACTTGAAGAAAATATTTTAAAAAGTTAACTACGGGGGGATGGAGTAATTGGATGATGGTCATTAAGGAGGACACTTGAGAGAGTGAGCACTGGGTGTTCTATGCAACTGATGAATCACTGATTTCTACCTCTGGAACTAATAATACACTCTAGGTGAATTAATTGAATTTAAATAAAATAAAATAAAAAGTAACTACAATCCAAGAGACTCCCTTATGATTACCTATTTTCTCAATAAGATTTAGAGTTCTTAAGGGTATTAAGGAGGGCAGGTGTTGTGATGGACACTAAGTGTTATACGTAATTAATGAATCGTTGAACACTACAACAAAAACTTATGATGTACTATATACTGTCTGACTGAACATAATAAAAAAAATTAAAAAGAGAAAGAGAAGTCCAAAAAAAAAAGATTTAAGAGTTCTTTTTGTTTTGTTTTCTAATAAATTTTTTTAAAGTAGAAAATATATTTATTGAGTACTCATTATATAACAGTATATTAGGTACTTTATAAGCATTGTCTTGTTAATTCTCATAAAAATTTTGTGTTTAGGGTAGTAATGTTCCCATTTTTATTTATTTATTTATTTAACAGAGAGAGATCACAAGTAGGCAGAGAGGCAGGCAGAGAGAGAGAGGAGGAGGAGGAAGCAGGCTCCCCACCGAGTGGAGAGCCTGACATGGGGCTTGATCCCAGGATCCTGAGATCAGGACCCGAGCTGAAGGCAGAGGCTTTAATCCACTGAACCACCCAGGTGCCCCCTCATTTTTTTTAATGTGAGATATTGAAACTCGGGGAGATTAAATAGCCTGTTGATAATGAAATAGCCAGTAAATAAAACAACACAGGTTTATTTGAATCTGAGACCATGTTTACTTCATAATTCTGTGCTGCAAACCTGTCAATGGTTCATAGGTATTTTCTAGAGAATGTTTCTATATGCATTTTTATGTGTGCATATGTGTATGTACAACACATAATTTTTATTACACATGTTATAAAATAAGAGCTTCCTTTTGTTGTATAAATTAAATATAGATTACTGGATCCATCCTAAACCCTTGAATGACTTTTTTCTTGTATTTTTCTCCTGTCCATCTAGAAAGAAATGTTACTCATCTGAGTTCTGATAAAGTATTTCTGATCACCTGGCTCTTAAAAAACACCTTGTAATCAGCCTCATTCAGTTTAACACAATTTTGATGTATCCCTCTCTAAATCTAAATGGAGATTTCCAAATTATTTCTTAAAGTGTCAGATAGTAAATATTTTCAGCTTGCCAGCCGTACGGCCCCAGTCATAATTGCTATAGTTAGAAAGTAGCCCTAGCTAATATGTAAATGAATGGCTTGACTATGTTCCAGTAAAAAAATGTATTTACTCAAACAGGCAGCCACGCATGAGCTGTAGTTTCCTGATCCTTGATTGGAAACCATTGCGTATGCCAGTTAGGCTAATAAATGGATTTAACCTTTGATATCTCATGCACTCGGTTTTCTGACTTACAGAAAATGAAGAATAAAAATACTGATGTGAGGTGAACAGTGCTGTGACCTTTGTTCCTTAGTTACCTATTTAGTTTTCATGAGTTAAAGGGTCATATACAGGAGTTTTCTTGTTTGGGATATTGTCTTTCCGTCTTCTCCATCTCCGTGAATAGTAGTAATCCCTGTTATATGGTTCCTCTAAGCCAAATACACTGGAGTCTTTCTTGGTTTCTCTTTCTCATGCCATGGACGATATGCCAGCAACTCCTATTGGTTCTCCTTTCCAATATATCCAGAAACCAGTCCTTTCTGACCACACCCATCTTTCCTACTCTGGCCCAGACACCGTTCTCTCTTTCCTGAATTATTACAGTAGCTCTCCTAACTGGTCTCCTTACACTCTTTAATCCTAGAGTCTGTGCTCCATCTGGCAAACATTGTGCAATATCATTCTGTAGAATATTATGCAATAAGTGAAAGACTGAAATAGGTCTACTTGTGTTGCCCTAGAAGTATTATCACTGTGTGTAAAGGGAGAGAAGGAGACTATTGTCAGATGCAGAGGGAGATCCCATCTTCATAAAAATAAATAATAACAAAACACTATATAGGTGTGTGTCTGGTTATATATTTTTGTATAGGCATGGAGGAAGTTAGAAGGAGGCACGTTAATCTGTAAACGCAGATTCCCTTGGAGAGTTAGCGATGAAGGAGGACAGCAAATTTTTTTTTATCAAGGCTGTTTTGTTGTTAAAAAGATCATTTATTATTTTGTAATTGTTAAAAATTAATAAGGAAGTAAACAAGCAGTATCAACAACAAAAAGAATACAAAACAACAACAAAAGATCTACCTTTCTGATATAAATCCTAATGTTCTAGAGATCTCTAGAGAGGTTTTCCACACAATGCCTCTAATTGATAAATTTTTAATTCCTTTTCCCCTGCTTTGCAACAGTGCTATTAAGAGAGCCTGATTAATTAAAGAATTTAGGAAATTGGTACATGTTTAGAAACAAATAGAGCCAGATTTGTAGGGTGGCATTCTTCTATTTTAGTTGGTCTGAAGATGTTTGCGGAAGGCAACCATGCATATCTTTCTGCATTTGCAAGAAAAGTGATTCTCTTTGCACTTATTAGCCACCAGAAAAATCCTCTTTGTTTCACTTATTTTCAGATTTATGTAGTCTGAATTAATATTTCAATAACCCTATTCAAAAGGAGCATTTGGAAACATTCCATGTGAATGTTGCATTCTTTAAGCAAAAGTGCAGAACACACTCTTTCCAGGCACCGATTGCTTTTCACAGATAATGTATTCTACTTAATCATATATAAGGGACACATCTAAGGTACACATTAAAGGAATAGCTTTGTCTTCACAGGTAGAAGTCACCTCATCCAACAAACCTCAGTGCATTTTTAAAGAGGAAGGTATATAAAAATAGCCAGCACATTTCTGGTGTGCATTGTGTCGTGGTCCCACCCTCAGTAATCCACGATTAAATGAAAACATTTGCCATGGCAACATCGATTTACAAAGGGCAAATGATGTTTCTGAGAGATTGGAGTATTTCTTTCAGAGATCGCAGATGCGCACACAGTTAACACTTTAACACCCTTACTAAATATTTTTATATACAACTGCAAAAGCCTTACGTGATTATTTTTGCATGTTTTCATTCGGAAATAGAACCCCAAACAAAACCATAAACTCTCAACAAAAACTGACATCAAGTTAAATACAAGCTGGAAAATACCACTAAAACATTTCAGCTTTCACTGTTTGTGGAAATCAAAATTATTGCATGTGGTTGGCTGGACTGAACTATGGTTAAATCATTTGCTTTCAACCGAATGAGCATTTTGCCATGAAAATGCAAATTATCTGTTCACTTCCCTTTCTATAACTGACGTTATTAGTTATCATATTTAGCTTCCCCATTTTGGACATATTAAAATATTAATTTTATCTCCTTAATGTGTTTTTCATAAATGCTAAGGCAGTATTCACAGATGTTTTATGTTGTGGTTTCATCCACTTGCTTCAGAATTTGAAGGCAGATGCCAGAGGTGTAAGCAGGAAGATGAATTGGTAGCCTGGGTAAATGCAAGTATTACAGAGGTGACTGGAGTGGGGTCAAATAAGTTTAGAAGTTAACAAACAGTCTCTATTGTTTTTTTGCTGTCATAACCATTCCGTAATACAAAGTGGGGGGGGGGGGAGAAAAAAACAAGAACTGTGTTCAGAGGTGAGGAAATTAAGTTCCTGCCCTAACTAGCTCAGAGCTGAGGGTAAAAAATTCATCTTACTCAACATGAATTCTTTGACTCTGCCAGAGATATATACTGTTCTGTATTCTACCTATCATTTATTTAATCAGCACAGCGAGCTTGGGTCTAGAAGCCCACGGCTGTGTTAGGTGTAAGGGGACTTTTAGTCCCTCAATCAGTTATGGCAGGAGTCAGTTGAGATAAACAAGGTATTTCGTACAGTTACTGCCCACAGTATTCTCTTTTCACTTTGGTCTGTGATGACCTGACAGCCTTCTACAACAGCCAAAGAGATTTGAAGCACCACTGAAGCAAATAAAAGCCAAATCTAGCACTTCTGTTAATGCTTTCAAGTCTGCTGCTGGTGAGAGACTCCACGTTTATCCGAAGACTGTGTATCATTTATTTCCACTT